TGATAAACAGCAGTTAATGCCAGTTTCAGTTCTGGGAGTTCCTGAGTACTGGGTGACACATGGGTGCTCAGTGTCCTCTTGTACTGAGGACTGGACTGCCCTTGTCTCAGAAGCTGACATCCCAGCAGCATTAACAGGAGCTTTTCATTCAGATTAAGGGTGAAATGTCTTCTTGCCTAAAAATAAACCGAAAGGCTATTCCAGTAACCAAACAGCACGGGGTTACTGCATTATCCTCCTTGTATTTTTGTTTTACTTCCTGGCCAATTTACTTCCTGATTCAGCACTAAGTTAGTTGTGAGCCTCAGTCATAACTGGCTAAATTTATGTATCAAACATAGATGGAGCCAATCCTGTCACATATTGAGGTAGTACTGACAAAGCCACTAACCTTTCTTTCAGTATTTCCAACAGAAAAAAAGGGAATAATCGGGAATCATCATCCTACTGCCTTTTGAATACCAGGCACTCCTCTTCGATACTTGACAGAAGACTTAGTTAACATGCAGAGGGGTGGAAACCTAGCTAAGTGAACAAATGGCTGTTGGCACTATTAATATATTAAAAAAGAAAGCTTATGATCTGATTTATGTTCATAAGAAATCTGCATACATACATATTGTGAAATTTTTAAAAACGGTATTTCCTTCCCTATTCACTGAGACCAAGATGTCTTAATAGGGCTACAACAAAGTATCAAACACAATAAATTTTGTTCAAGGTAAATAATAAACAGCAGACTTAAAACTAGGAGTTTCTAATGTCCAGTCACTTGTTTTAGCAATAAAAGGTTATTTTGATAGTCTGAAATATGACATAGGAATTTAAAGTTAGAATTAAAATAGGAAAACAGTGAAGTAAAACAGCTAACTACGGTGAGGGAAAACTAGGACAGCTGTCAGCACACTTCAGTTATTTAGACAAAAAAGAGTTTAAAGGCAGTCTAGAATATTTCCAATCCTATTCACCTGTTGTAGAAGGCAAAGATTAGTAGGTGAAGAGAGCATGAAAGGAGAAATATATCCAGGTAAGAGAGATTTTTTCTTCCACAAACATATAAACTAAAATTGTATCTGGAAAACATTAAGTGCCATCAGACATTGTACTTGTGTCTTGTAATGTTTTCAGACAAGTCTCAGATGAATGAATCAGCTTCTCACATAATTAATCAAATTAATTATTCACTGGGAGTAGGCAACAATGAACTATTTAGCTAGATATAAATAGCAGCATTATGAGTTTCATTTGACTCTTACTCACTGTTGCATGTTAAAGGTGTACATTAATGACTCTCACAATCTGCTTCTGATTACATACTCAAAAGACAATGGCTAAGAAATGAAAACAAAATATGTTTTGCTTTTTATTGAAAACTATTAGGGATAAGAAAGGAAAACATCAGTAGTGATTGCTGATCAGTTCCTGATAAAGCAACACTGGAATAAGTTAAGTTTCACATATATTTGTGTGCTCTGCCATTGATTTAATGGAGTCAGGATTTTGCACAAAGAGGAGCCAGGCCTTAATAAAAGGAAGTTTTTGTCCACCTGACAGGGTTCTTTGTTATACATATGAATGATCCTTACTTTGTGTATATGTAGGTGCCGTAAAATACCAGTTCCATGAAAGCAGCACTAAATTTGTTCCATATGATCAAAGCAATGAATATCAGTTATCCCTGCTATAGCAAAATATCCAGAGAAATACTACTTCACATTTTATTTCAGGTGACTTTTCAGCAACCAAATGTTGGCATTATTTGCCCTCACGGGCATGATCTAACTTTGTAGCTACTCCTGCTTTGAGAAGGGGTGTTGGCCTAGAGGTCAGGAAAGGACTCCAAAGGTCCCTTCCAACCTAAATTATACAGTGATTCTGTTTATAAATCTTAATCTCCACTGCCATTACACAAAAACATAACTACCCACAAATATGTAAACCATCTGTTCCATTTCTCTCCTTTCTGTTAGAATTAATGCATCTTTAATTATAATCTTGCTCTTTACAAGCATCTTCACATTCCGTAGGTACTCACTAACAGGTGTTTTGATTCAGGTGCCATTAGGCAATGACTCATGGTGTGTTGTCTGATGATGACATTTAAAATGGGGGAATACTGCTGGAGGATCTTTGGAACTGGAAATATGATTGCTGAGCTCTTCCCCTTCCAATTTAGACTGGTCCATTCTACTGAGTGATGATGCACCCTGAAGCATTAGATAACAATGTGGAAAACAATATGCCAAATAAGGAAACTCCTTTTTTATTGTATCTGTTTTGACATTCCATCCCAGCAATTATTTTTAATGCTTGGATTCAGATTCATTATTTACAGTCATATTAATAGCAAAGTTGGCATTCACTTCAGGTCTACTTTATTTCTTCCGTAGTAACGTTACATCTCATGTATTTACCTACAACCAATTTCATCTCAGTAGCAGAGCCCGATTTGCCTATAGAACTATTGTCTTTATAATCTCACACAGATTTTACAATGTGTCTTGCTGCATCTGTGTCTGGTAACTACATCAGCAGTTTGCTAGGATGTTTAAATAGGAAGATAAATGTCTATATAGCAAGTTATCTCACTTTATAACTTACTGTGTTTTATTCTCCACTTAGCATCTTGTATCTAGATCCAGCAAGACTTGGGCACTCCATGGTGTTCAATTTTCAGCTTATGGAGAAGAATCCATATGCCTGAGTCAGGTGCCTGTGCTCCTTACGCTATACGTGAGAGAATAATGCAAAAGTGAATGTTTAATCTGTTTGGGACCTGTTATTAGTAATCAACAGAATGCTGATTACACAGTCCAGCTGGCCAATGGTGTGCTTCAAGACCTGTAGCAGTAGAGGTTAAGTAAGACCTCTTAAGGTGTGTGAGGTAAGCACAGGTAGAGTCAAGAATGGGTCACATCCTCAGTATATACACGCTATCAGTACTACTGCTAGTAGCAGTGCTGGATGACTACTTCCTGGTTGTGAGAAAAAAAATTAGTAGGAGCAGTTGTGTCAGTGGCTGTTTCTGGACCATTTTCTCTTCAATACAAGCTGGCATTATCTTTAGTGATGCTGCTACAATGATCAGTCAAACCCTTCAGCACTACTGAAACAATCCTTTCCTACAGAAGAAATCTGAGGAACTCATAGGAGAAAAGGGCAAAGAATAAACAGGTGGTTCTCCTTGATTCCCCATAAGGAAATCCATACATGCAAAGCTTTTTGAAAGTTTGTAAATCTTGTAACCAGGGCAAACTACTATTTTTTTTTTTTTTTTGCAGTGGTGCTGGCACCTCACAGCAGCTCCACTAGTCAATGCATCCTCTTCAGACCGGTTTCGATGGACCTGTAACAGCATTAAGGGGATTCCTTGTAGAAATCCATAGAGAAGCCTGTAGCAATGACCAGTGCTTGTGGGTTGGATGCCTTTGTAATTGTGGGATCGGTTTCGTGCAGGTCTCCATGGAAGCGCCCTTCTGCATCCAGACATTTCTGCCATTCCATGTCTGCAAGACAGTAATTTCCACACCATCCAAACTAGTCAAACAGTCGAGTGCACAGGGAATACTTCTGCAGGGACCTCTCCCCTTCCATCACCTCAGCATTAACATACCCTTTAGAGGTGCTGCCCAATACTTGCACCCCAGCCAAGTGGAAGTTGGCTGTATGTAGGAACTGGTCACTGAGGAGCCTAAAGCCCTTGCAATACAGCATGTGACATGTGCTGTCTTTCCCTATGCTTTGGGGTAGACCATACCAGAGATGAAGTTTACTCCAGTTTTCTATCAGTTTGTTTTTTGAATTCATGTGTCACAAAAACCCGTGGAGAGAAGACAGGGCAAGTTTCACCGCGTACGTCCCAAATCACAGAAGTGCCACAGCTGAACTTTTTGCTTATAGAGGGTTAATGAAAAAAAAGTTGGTTTTGTTTTTTTTTTTTTTTCCTAATAATTTACAGTAGTACTTGCATTCAGAATATTATATCAAAAAGAGGCGATCATGACAACTTATTTAAACTGGAAAAAAAATAAAACAAGCTCTTCAGGCTAATCTTTCAGATGACTGAAAAAATACTAAAATTCCCCAAATCTTACGCCTGAATCAGCAACATACAAATTCATTAAAATGCCAGTCTTCGGGTAAAACCCACAAAAAGTCAGTAGGAACCGCAGTTAATTCTTGAATTCCTCAGGACCCCTCCAGCAGCCGTGGCCACTGCGTGACATCTGGTGGCCACAAGCCAGCATAGCAAGCACGTCGCTCCCCCTGAAACCGCAGTGCGCGTCAGCTACCTCAGGTGAGAACACGTTATCGGTTTCCTGTCAAATGTTAACTGCCAAAAATACCAGGTGTAATACATTCGCTGCAGTTGTGCGTCTGGCCGCAGAAGAACCCAGCTTGGACAGCCGCCAGCGCGCCACACGTCCCGGCAAGGCGCAGAGCTTCCTCCCGCCTGGAAAGGGCGCCCTTCCTGCCCGCTCCCGCAGTTGTGGGACATCGGGGATGGGGACTTGCGGCGCGGCAGCATCGCGGGAGACGCTCTTTTAAAATGCAGAGACGGAATTCACCGTGAACTGGAGCCCGTCGGGCCGCTAAAAACAGGCCGCCCTGAGCCCTCGGCTTCCCGCCCACAGACCTCCAACCCACCGCGGCCGCCTTCCCCTCCGCCCGGCTGCTTCCGGCTTCCGGCGCCGGCCGGCTCCCGCAGAGAGAGCCGGGCGGAAGCCGCCCGCCGCACAGCGCCTGCGCCTGGGGGGGGGCGCGGCGTAGGGAGGCGCGGCGTGGGGGGGCGTGGCCGCGGCTCAGTTCCTGCCTGGCGCGCCGCAGGCGGGCGGGTGCGCGGGTCCCGGCTGAGGTAACGGCTGCTCCCGCCCCCCCCCCCCCTTTTCCCTCCCCTCGGCGGGGCTGCGTGGGGCCGGCCCCACGCCCCGCGGGACACCGCTCCCCCCCGGCGGGATGGGGCGGGGCCGCCGCGGCCCGCCCCCCCCCAATTCCCCCCCCCCCCCCCCCTCCGGGCCGGCCTCGGTGTTGCCGGGGTAGAGCACGCTGGGAGCTGCCCCCTTAGCTCTCCCCGGCGCGGCCCCGTGCGCTGCTGATTCACCTCGGAGCGGCCGCCGGGGAGGGAGGGACAGGGACAGGGACAGACAGACAGACAGACAGAGGCCCCGCGGGGCCTGGGCGGGCCGCCGCTGTGGGCGCGGAGCCTTGCTGGCGGGGCTCCCCCCCCGGGTCTCGGCGCGGCGCTGGGGCCCGGCCCGGCGCCTCGGTGACTTCCCCGGGGCCGGCCGGCGGCGCCGCCGGCGGGACACCCGCTCGCTTCGGCGGCGGCGTCGCTGCTGCCCGTCCTGCTCCTCGGTGGCCCCGGCTCTGCTGGCTGCCCGTGCGTCCGGGGCCTCGGGGGGGTGCGGGGTGACTGCAAGGCTGTAACGGGAGAGGTCCCTCCGCCTCTCCGGTTGGGGCGTGATGCGGGCTTAGGAAACGGTCGTTTACTTGTCATCCACCGTGTGTTTGTAGTTGGGAAAGCGGTAGCTCGGAGGCCTTAACTCATCCCCTCCTTCGTACACAAACCGATGCATTTAACATCTCGGTGACAGCGTTGATCGTGCTTGCAGGAGTGTCGTTACGGGGGAACCTTTAACAAGATGTATTTTATTTGCAGTCGTGCTGACTTGTTTCTTTGGGGGGCGGGGGGGGGGGACGGGGTTACAGTTCTAGCCGAAGAAGCAAGCTGATCTACATGTGCTTCACTATCCATTGGAAGAATGACAGATGACAAAGATGTACTTCGAGATGTGTGGTTTGGACGAATACCAACGTGTTTCACTCTGTATCAGGATGAGATAACTGAAAGGGAAGCTGAGCCTTACTATGTGAGTATAACGAAGGTAGCCACAGATAGTCCAATGCCATAGTTATGTTTGTTTCCTTCGTTCTCATTATGTGTGCTACTTGATGTTATAAAAAAAACAAAACAAAACCAAAACAATTTTTTTCTTCTTATTCCTGGTACCTTCTGAAAGTAAACTGTATGACCACACTGCATGATTTGTGTCTCTTCACAGCAGGCTCAAAACTTTAAGCTTGTTCTGCCAGAGAGAGAAACTTACCACAGATAATTAAGATCTTAAAAAAACTATAAAAAAGCTAACAGGATAAAAGGAGGAGGCTCTACGCGAGTTCGTATGTTCTTGGATAATGACCAGAAGAAGGGAGAGAACTTTTATGTTACCTTACTCCATAAAACTTCAGTCAGAGCTTTGTGCAATCTTAAATGGTAGGATCAGTCACCCGTGTAACACAAACTCATAACGAACACTGGCTCCAGGATTTCTGCTCATGGATGACTTCTGCTCGTTTTCTTTAAATGCTAGCAGCCATGAGAGATCTATCTGAGATGTAGAAAGAGCAGCTATAATGTCCTAACAGTACAGTGCCTGAACTGGATTGCCAGTGGATGATAAAAGTGAGGGTGATGGATGTATTTGAGTTGTAAACTAGAATTGCCTCCTGTGATCATGTGGTATTTATTTATAGTGTACTCAGCAGTTTTCATTCTTTTTAGCACCTAAGAGACATTTGATTGCTAGAAAATGTTAGCTGATTCAGTGAAACTTAAATTTGAAATGTAACAGCTATGTGGGAGGAAAATCTTGTGCTATGAGTTTTTATGTGATTCGGAAATCCTTACGTCTTGCCATAATCCCTTTCTACTCTTTTTGAAAATATTACTGTACAGAATTGTTTTTTTCCTGTGCTTAATAGCATCTCTGTGTCATCAGTTTCTGATTTCCATGTATATTCAGTAGGTTTTTGAAACCTAATAAAGCATTAATGCTTTTGATTCAGTGATGATAGTGCTCATCTTTCTATGTTTTAGTTTCACAGCCAGTAAAACAGGAGCACTTTTATTTCATGTGGTTGACCTATTGCCAAATGCATCTGAGCTATCTAGAAATCTCAGACTTTAAATTACATATATATATATACATACGAGTTTAAATATATATGCATATGTTGTGTAAGAGCTTCATGAAAGGTATGAGTAAGTATAGAGACATGCCGTATTGATCTGTTTAACATCAGCATGGAAACTCTGAAACCATGTTATCTTCATGGTGTGGCCAACTTTCTAAGCCAAGGAGATAGTTTTAAGCTGGTAGGGTTTCTTTTATTTAGTCTCCTTAAAGCGTGCACAAAAATTCTCAAGGCTTAATTCTCTATTTCTGCAAAATCTGGTTATTCACAGATCACAATTCCAAAATTTTAGCTTCTTCCTTTTTCAGGTCATGTTGGAGCTGGTAATATAGCTTTGCTTCTTGAAGGGGCCAGGGGTTTATAATAGCAAAATGTAGAATAGCATTCAAAGTTTTAAATCGTGGTTTATTTCTCATGGTTTCAGAGTGCATCCACGTTAATGTTTTGTTCGGATTTGGAGTGCATTTTTGAAGCAAGCCTTCATCCTTTCCACTTACTGTGCCCAGGTTTGCGTCACACAGCAGTCTTATAGCTCACAAGCTGAATCATTTCCACGTGAAGCTGAAGATGTGCTTCAGCTGCCAATGGGCATTCCGTGTATAGGAACAAACTGGAGCTAAATTGAAGTAAAAATAAAAAACCGAAACCCCTACAACTGAAGTAAAAAAGTGAACATTCCCAGCCCTTGACACCAGCTGTTCAGCTTTACATGTCTCCTCTTCCCGCACCTCAGTATTTGTTAATACAGATATAACCTTTGTATTCCAGGCTGCCTTCCATAAACGGGAAGCCTGCATGGGAAGGAAGTCCTGGCATCTTTATGTTAGGAGGTGGAAAAGAGCTTCTGTTCTGAGGAACTTGCTTTATGAAGATGGAGGAAGATATAGACCTGGAGGGTGAGGGGTTAGAAAAACAACCCAGAATCTGTGTGATGGATTTCAGTTTGTTGTGAATGGTGTGACAGGAGAGCCCTGTCTGTTAGATATATTAGCAGAGCACAGGAGTGATGAATGTGTGTATCACACTATGGCACTGCATGGGGGTAGCAGAGCTCACTTTAGATGAGCTTGTCTGTCTTTTGGAAAGAGTAGTGACATCAAGACGGAGCAGCTTAGGTAAAACACTGTCCTATTTCTTCCTCTAGTCAAGCCAGGTAGGTGTCTGCAGAGTTACACCTGAAATGGCTATGTCAAGTTTCTTTGGAGTATTTCCTACAGATGCTTGTGTTTGGAGTGGAAGCGTAGGTAGGAACAGCTAGGTTGAACTACTATTGTTGCTGAACTATGTGCTTTCTTCCCTAGTCCTACAATTGTTACGATTTTTATTTTAAAACGGTGTACTGTCTGCTTCTTAGTGCAAACAACAGTTAGGAATGAAACGTGCACAGGAAGCAGAGTACTCATTGGCTGAGATTTGTCAGGTGTAAAGAACAAAATTACGGCAGAAGGCAGTTTTAGAATGATACTCTGCCCAAGGGACAAGCCTTTACTGGGCCACTCTTTAAGCTTCCCTGGTTTCAAAAGCGTTGTTTTATTAAGGTGTCTGTAAGAGTGAGCAATGTGAAGCCATTCCATGTTAGGATGCTTTGTTTCTTCTTCCTGGATACCTTAGTGGTCAGACCAGCCCAGTTTCTGTTAAATCTAGAATTTTTCTGTTATATAATCCATTCTTCATGTAAAATGTTTTCCTCCGCAATAAAACCTGTGATGGTTGCTGGAGAGGTACTCTTCTTACACATACGCTGCAAGCATTTACTTAGGCATTAGGAGTTCCTTGCATTTCATTTAACCTGTACAGAAATCATTCCTGGTTATTGTGGTTAAATACTGCAGCACTACACAGTGTGCAGAAGCAAGGTGTTGCGGCTTGTGTAAGTTGGGGGGATGGCATGCTCTAGCCTATTAGGGTTTATTCTGCCTGGTAGCGTATTTGTAGATTTACTTTTGTTTTCCTAATTTAATGAGGAGAACTCCTTATTTTATTTGTTTGCACCCACCCCATCAGTTTTGTAAAGCTATTTTGGTTTAAGCTGAGCATATATGAATTGTGTGCATGTGTTTCACAATTTCAAAGCTAGGGTTAGAAATCATATCAAAAGCAGTTGCTTACTGTGTCTCATTTTTAATCAAGAACTAGTACGTGTTTATTTTAGACAGATTAAATAATTACATTGGGTATGGCCATTGACTTTAAGAATTCAGATGTGAATATGAATTTTAGTGGGTTTTTTCATGTTCTCAAATGGTATTTTTAAATTATTAGTACTGGGTGATTTGTTTATCTTGTCTTCATTACTGTTGCAATGGTCAGTCTGATCCCGAAAGGTCGTGAACATCTACTTGGCTTTATACCATGTACTCTGACTACTTTGAGGGAGTTTATGCCAGTTGCTTGTTTTTATGCCGAGTGGGAGAAAACTTACATAACTGGTTGCTTGAGGGAAAGGCACCCAGCCTCATTTAACATTTCAGGGATCCTTACTTGGTCTTGACACTTAAAAGCCATTCACGCATGGACTGCTTTAGACTTCTCTTGAATCTGCTTCCAGGTCTGTCCTTTCCAGGGGACAAGACAGATGTGGCTCATTCTGATCCATAAAGCTCCACTGAAAGTGTTTTTTTTCAGTCAGGTTTCTTTGTTATGCAGCACAGTGAGTGGCAAGCGTGCTCGTCTGCCATTGATCCATGGGCGGCACGGCAGTCAGTTGCCACACAACTTGAATCAAACCTGGGATTGTCTTCTGTTTAATTCCTTAGGTGTTATATCATGCACTTTCCTATGAGTTTTGTTCTCTCATACACTATTTAAATTGAAAACTATATGCTGAAAATATGCTAAATGTGCACTCAGCCTATTAGTTAAAAGCTTTGATACTACCTTGTCTGCATACTTGCCCATGCATTAGTGTAGGCTGTTTAATTTATGATGGGCATTCTGTCTTAGAGCATATTATGTAGTGATTTATCTGTTCTACATTCAGGTTGCAGTTGTTACATTACTTGCATTGTTGGATGTGTTTGATTTTCATAGCGTCGTTCTAACCTTTAGCACTAAGTCTGCTGATAAAAGTAATTTGTCAAAAAAATAAAAAAAAAAAAAAAAAAAAAGGCAGCAATTGAGCAAATCTGATCTAGTGGAATGTTTCACTCGCATTACTATGTATTGTCATATGATCACGTGGCTTTTTTCTTAATTAGGTATTACAGCCCTAAACCAAGAATTCTTCTTATCACTGGGTCATGGCTGTTCATTCCCAGCATCTGGAAGTGTTGCTGTAGAGTAACCAAAGGCTGAAAGGGTAGAGCCTCATTAGCCTGCACAGTCTGGTTTAGGAGTCGGTAGCAAAAATGTTTGTGGGAGAGGTGTTGTTCTGGTGAACATGGCTTTGCCTGAAAGGAAGGCTCCTTACCACATGGCTAAAGTGTTGGAGAAGCTTGTGAGTGTCTAATAGTCTAGATAGTGAACTGCTGTGTAGAATTCCGGTTTTCATATAGAGGCATCTATAAAAATATTTAACGTGATTCTGCTGTCAGAGTGATTGACTAAGGCCCAGCATATAGTTAAATACATCAAAGGCTTTTTTTCTAAATATTTTTTTGGTACTGATGTTCTGGAAATACTCAGTAATAGCATTTAAAAACTACAGGATTTCTGGAGTAAAAATGTTTTATGTCAACTGGTGTCTTTCACCAAGTGCAGACAACTGGTGGAGAAGGAATGTTAAAAGGGGTAACAAAATGAAAATGTCTTTAAACTATGCTTTTAAAAGTCTCACTTAAGATTTAGTACACTTGTATATCTCGAGGATAATTAAAGCTAGGAAAGTAATAGAATTGGATCTTTTCATGTCTTCCATGGAAGGGGAAGACGATAGCAAGGTGGAAGAGGTGGGAAGACCAAAAAGAGCTCAGAAAGTACTGCAAATGCTCAGCATCTCTGAAAAATGGGCAGTCCTTGTTGACCTGATCAACTGTTAGATTTTGTACTCTGAAGAGGTCCATTTGGTGTGCTGGCTACATTCTGTTAAATTCAGTTAAATCCTGTTCAGTTATTGTCCGTGATCTCTAATTGTGTTGAAATAGAAACTGTGTTGTTCTTCCACACTACAAACTGAAGTAAAATATTTTACAGAGGAAGTTAATTATGCAATTTAAGGGTTATGTCAAACACTGTTGCAATAAATAATGCTTTAATATATTTATCAGTTCCTGCATGGCCCTGCCACATGCAGCATACTGAAGATTGACTTTTGTAGCAGTCCAAATGGGTTTCATATCAGAATATACCAACAATAATTTAACTGTAAATATTGCACAGAAATAATATGGAATTATTACCAAAAATATTTGGGTTTGATTGGAGTAACCTGGACTATGTTGTCTCAAGAGCAATTGGTGTAGTTATGTGGAATTAGGTTAATAAAGGATAAGATGATCTTGTCATTCAAGTTACTGAGGTACCAAACAATTCTCACTTGAGCGTGTACATGACTTCATTGAATTTATTGAGATTGTTCACCTTTTGAGACTGAAGGCTGTGTTTAATCACTTTGCTGAATTAGACTCCTGTGAAAGAAGGTAGAAACAATATAATAAGAGTATACATAATAATAAGTAGTAAGAGCAACAGATGGAAAAAGAAAACCATATGGTACATAACAGATCAAGTGTTAACTGGCTTGATGACTGTGATGGTGGTGAGTCTTGATCTTTTGTAGCTTTATATAGTCCTAAAATTTAGTTGTTTCACAGGTGTATCTGGATTAGTAACCTAATGCAGCATTATCTAAAAGGAAAATCCATTCTTTTTCATAAGAACTTACACTTTATTTACTCTCCATACTTCTTCTTTGTGAATCTGATATTTATAAATAAACTGTGGTATCATGGCCAAAATAGTATCTAGTTTATACATCAGATTGTGGTCTACTTACTGGAGAGATTCTGGAAGAATGTTGCAGCAGAGATAAAGTTTTCTGTCAGCAAAATATATCCTTACATATTTTGGGGTGTCTGTACCACAGACATTCACTTAAGGCCTAGAATTATCCATATACTATAAAGAAGGTATTTTAAGAAACGACACTGGTCATGAGGAACACTGGAAAACAAGTGTTTCTCTAAATATACAAGATATAATTTATTTCTATTTATTCCTTAGACCCATCTATTTTATTAATAATTAGGAAATGAAAATAATCTTACAGGATGAGTACAATTCATTTAAAATGCTTTAAAGCTAAACATTGTTTTACAGGGAGGTTAATATTTTCTCATTGGGATACTGAAAGGCATTGTTCATTAAAGCTTATGGACTGATTCATCTTAAATAAATGTGCTATACAGTCAGCAGTCAGTACACTGATTGATGCAGTCTGCTTAACCACTGTTACTAGGCATGAGACTTTAAAAAAAGGGAGGGGAAAGGGGGCTGCAAATAAAAATAACACAGCATTCTGTTTTGGATAGTGCATAACACTACACTTGAAAAAAAAATATAGTTTTCCAGAAAGCTGTAAGAAGGTGTCTTGTTTCATCTGGTAAAATATTAGCAGTTTTCTTTCAGATTTTAGTAGCTGGGCAGAGGTTAAAATGGAAAAATCATGGTAGCTTTGACTAAGATGTTGAATTGGCAAACCCAATGTGAAGAAAATGGAAATTGTCAGCTACTGGAAATACAAAACACACTTGGAAACCAAACCCTTAGGCAGCTAGTTTTCTTTTTTTTTTTTTTTTTTTTTTTTTTTTTTTTTTTAATTCTGTAGGAATTTTCATTTTGAAATAACAGCTGATAGACAGTTGTTCATTATATACAATAAGAAGTTAGAACATGTTCCTGTCTATTCATATGAAGAAGGTTAAAAACTTAATTCTTTGGCCTGTTTAAATACAGAAAAGCAGAAATTGAATTCCATTCTTCTCCCTCCCACCACATGAAAAGAATCAAGAACTTATTTTTTTACTCTTTTTGTGTATGTTCATGTATTGGATACTATTATACTGCGTGTTCTGATTATGTAATTTTATAGCCTTTCATTGACCATTAAGAAACAAAAGGCACCTTAAAGGGGGGAAAAAAAGAATGCTGACTAAGTTTTGGTTATGAAAAATGCATACTTTTGACAGATTTTTATTAATTTAGTAAATTTTATGTATACTTAAAGCTTCTGTAATTTTTTTCTTTCAGTTGCTTTTGCCAAGGATAAGCTACTTGACACTGGTAACAGACAAAGTGAAGAAACACTTTCAGAAAGTTATGAGACAAGAGGAAGTTAGTGAAATATGGTTTGAATATGAAGGTACACCACTGAAATGGTAAGTTTATTTAACCTTGTACCTTTACTTAATTTGCCATGTAAAGAGTTATCAAGTTCAGCACAGTGTCAGTACGTTTCCTAATCTCCATTGGGTTTCAAAGATGGCAAAGAGGAGGGAAAGTAAGAAAAGCATTCTGTTTGGGAAAAACAGAAGAAGGTTTAATGTTGAACATATTTTTGATTATTCTGCTTGTACTTACTATGTGTATAAGGCAGAGGTTGTGCTGGAGCTATTGTTTTTTGTTCTAGTCATTACTGCAATACAAAATGCCTGTGGTTTGGCTTTACCATTTCTTACAGTAGAATCACTGCATAAATCTTTGTTTGGCTTAGTCTACCTTCTTAAAAGATGTCTAATAACACGGATAGGAAGTATTATTTCTAGACTCTGAATGCAAATGGGATATATGCTTAAAGATAGTAAAACGTGTACGTAACCTTCAGTTTTTGCTGGTGTAATGTGTGCTTGTACTGTAAACCAGATGATCTAATACAGAGATCTAATACAAGAGCACAGGCTCTTGTTCAATTCAATTAGTTCAACTTTATTGAACTAATTGCTGTTGATTCTATTTTTGTTCCGTCATACTGTCTATTAAAAGTTTGTGTTGTTTGTTTTCTTCTGAGAGGTTGGGGAATCAGACTGACATTGTTTCATTTACTTGGTTTTCATAAATACTATTAATCAGATTTTTTTTCTTTCTGTTTCTGCCATAAAGAGTTTTAAAGAAAACATTTTGAGAAGCTGCAGTGTTTGCTAGCTCTGGATAGACAGCATCAGCTCTCCAGAAAGTATTTAGTATTTTAAATGCTGAAGAGATTTTATTTTCTCTCTTTGTTTCCTGTATCATAATATGAAAGAAAACTCCCAGTGACTGTTTTAGCTTCTTGAGCCTGGATTGTCTTGTGGTTAGCAAGCGTCACATCATGGAGTCCCTTTAGCCTTGGTAATGCAGTACATCTCTTTTAGTCTTTTGTTTCTTTGAGACCAACCTAGTATAAACCTTGACAACTATGTAAATAGAAAAGCATAAAACCTAGCTTTTTTTACTTTTTCAAAACTGGCTGACAAAACCATCTTTAGACATCTATGTAAATTATCTGGCATATAACAATAATTGGTTTCTTGGTGTGCCATAGTGACCCTGAATCATGGATACTGTCTAAATAAACAGCAAGGTACCAGGTTTGTCCCAGTGTGTTCATAATCTTAGGTAGATAATGGGAGGAAGCTTTATAAGTTTACGCTGAAGTTGTAACAGGAAAAGAAAGAGAGGCTTTTTACTTCAGTCAAAAATAGGTCTGTATTTTCGGTAAGTTTTCAGATACCCTGATGTTTAAACTAGAATGAAAAAAAAATTATAGAATATAGGTATAGAGTAAAAATATAAATTATAATTCTAAAATTAAGAGTTAGTAAACTCACTGAACATGAAAATGAAAGTGAACAGTATAATTATGATCTCCTAATTAAGGCTCTGATCTTTCAGAATATCTAAGCATATTCTGCCAGGAACAGCTTCACTGATTTTAGTGGAAATGCTTTTCTAAGGAAGATACTATCTGCAAACCATTATTTCAGGAGAATAGTAATCCCCTAAATAGCTGAAGCTTGTTCTAGGAAAGACCCAAATATCAGAACTGGGAATTAGATTGACTTAGTAGTTTGTAGAGAAGGAATAGTAAGCATTAATGCTTAATCTTTTTAAATGTAACTTCTGCATTCCAAATCGAATAGAGCTTGCTAATAATATTGCTTATTCTAGATGTTTACTTTGCACTGTGAGGTCATGTTGCTTACGGTCTTTGTGATTTCATACCTGGGTGGGATGCGGTATGTCTCTTTTCAGCTGCAGCTCTTCTGTTTTCCAGTGAGATTTTGGAGGAAGCCTGAAACGTAGTTTCAACATCATGGTCTCCAGCACTCAGGCCAGGCTCCTGAAGGAGGGTGAAGCTCTTCAGGTCTGGCTTTACAGTGGCCTGGGGCCTCCCACTGAGGTGGTTGGGGCAGGGGAAGATGGTCTCCTTGCCTGCAAGAGGTGTGTGCTGGGGAGGGTCTGTGTCACCAAGTTAAAGAGCTGCAGCATCAGAGACTACAAAAAGAAATCCATCAAATCTTCTCAGAGACCCGGCAGCTACAGGAGCCTAAACCTGCAACTACACTGAAGGAGATGCAGGCAGAGTCTGTGATTATTGGACTGGAAAATAGTCTCCTAAGATATGGAAGGGCTGGAAACGTGTGACTTCTGGCAATAGCAGGGAGGCTCCTTCTCCACTTTCATTTCTGTAACTAGAGGATATGTTCCATGCTCTGGCTGCTGGTGAGGGACTGAACCTCTGTCCAGTGATGCATCTGAGGTGGGTGAGCCTCAGCTGTGCAGGGGCACTAGGAGGAAGTGGTGAGTGAAGTCAAAAGGTCTGTATTCTGCTTACTCTCCTTTATCAATCTGTCCAGGATCTTGAACTCTGACATTTCATGGTCACTGCAGCCAAAGCTGCCACCGATTATCATATCCAGAACTGTTTTGTCTTGTTAGTAAGTAACAGATTCGGCTGCTGGTCAGCTCTGGTCCATTCAGTGCCTTTATCAAGAAGTCTTGACTACTTGTGTCCCACCATGTTTCTTTTCCAACAGAAGTCAGATGTTCTTGAGTTATTTAGAGAAGACTTTATCTACTTCCTCTCCTGGATTGCATGTTCTATAACAAACTTTCCTTGATGTTGCCCTTGCTAGTCTCTCCTCTGACTGTGAATCACAAGATCTCAACCAACCTGTTGTCTGTTCCACTAAGTTTCATACATCTAAACCGCTCCCTCACATGGAAGACAGCGCTCTTCCCTCATCTGCCCAGCCTGTCCTTCCTGAGTAGCTTGCATCCATCCATCCGCCACAGCAGTCCAGTTGTGCAAGCTGCCTCACCATATGTCAGGTAGCCCAAAATTGTCACAGTTATGGCACTGCATGTGGAGCTCTAGTTTCTTCTGCTTGTTTCCCAAGCTGTGTGCGTTTATGTACATACACTTGTAGTAGAAGCTCTTCTACCCTGTTTTATAATTTTGGGATCTCCCTTGTATCTGTCACCTTTCACCAATTGATTTCCACCCATGTCCATTAATTTCTACTTGTCTGTGAGTTGTTATTCACACCCCTGTTGTTTATGGACTAAAGCTCTCCTCACCAGGTTGGCCAGCCTGAAGGCAAAGATATTTTTGTCCCACTTAGGTGGATTCCATCTCTCCCTAACAGTCCTTTATTCCCAAAGACTGTTCTGTGGCTGTAAAAGCCAAGTCTTTGTCACACCAGCTGCACAACCATTGACCAGCATTCATACTTCTCTTAGACTTTCTCCTTCGGTGACAGAATTGTGGAGATACTACCTTGCCCCAGGAGCTGTATAGTCCCTCTTGATACGCTGGAGGGTTTCCGTGAAACACTTACTGTTTGTGCCACTGGGGTTGAACAGAAAGAGCTAATAATCCAAGCATAGGACAAACCTTGCCAGTCTGCCTGAAGTTTCTTAACAAGCAGCAAAACTTTGCAGATAGCAAGTGAGATTGGCAGATGGGAGAGGGCCCTATCCCCTGTAGGGGCGAGTCTCCTACTGCTGTGACCGCTTGCTCTTGGTGCAGGTGTGCTGTTCAGGCCTCTGTGATGCTCCCTCAGAACTTCCAGCCCCTTGTCTGCTATCCAGGCACTGACTGCAGGTGGAGAAGGAGCCTGCCTTTTCTTGCCAGAGGTTGCAAGACACTGGTCTTCCCCGTCTTGCAAGTCTCCGTTCACCACTCCAGTGACTGCAGACCCGCTTTCTGTGCAGTTGGTTGTTCAGGCTCCCATCTCCGCAAGGTTCTCGGTGAAGATGCCAGCAGTCTGTTTTTATCTTCCCTGATGCTGCGCAGCCAGCTGCCCTTCTGCAGCAACTTAACTGGGTGGCATAGCTCCTACACTTACCACAGAGGTCGCTAGGCAAGGATGTTTCCTCTGCTTGCCCCAGCCCTCAGGAGAGGTCCCAAGCTCTCCTGGCAGCTTGGCACCTGGAGACCTTTATCCTTTCTCAGGAGGTCTGCCTGAGTGAAGGCCTCTGATGTGCCAGGGGTGGTTTCTTCAGCAGATGCCAGGGGATGACACCCTACAGCCTGTCACCATCCCATCTGAGCACTTGCACGTGGCCTTCAGCAGAGTTTCTGTCCCCTTTCTGTGGGTTGTGCTCTAGCCCTGGTGGTTGCATAGGTGTCTCTCCAGAACCAACTGGATGGATGTTTGACCCTTCCTAATCAGAAATCACTGGAAGACAAAAGGTCAAAGCACCTTTTGATCAGGCATAGCCGACATGTTGTTTGAAAACGCTAGCATTTGCTTAAAAGATCTAAGAAATATCTACCTTTTACTGAATACTAAAAGAAAAGGTGAGACTATTTTCCAATGCAACCAGAATTTCCCTCAAGGAGAAATTTGTTCATAGAAATACCCAAACACCAGTTTTTGGCCATTTGATACACTTAGTACCCCAGATAGTTCTGAAGCATGAGGGTTTTTTTGTCCTGGGTTTACCAGTTCATGTGACATGTCTTACTGAATGACCACAGTAAATTATTCTGGTCTGAAAACAACCTACCAACTCATGCTGTCACTTACTGTCCTGGGTTCAGAATGAAATTATTAGAAAAGTAGTAATTGATTTTCCTCACTGTCCATCTGTCAGTTTCAAAAGGATTTTAAGTACTTAAGATTATGTTTTCTAGGACTTCTCTCGCACTCTGAAACCACCTTTTGTATAATAATAAAGGCAGTAATAAATTGAGAATGGCTGGAAGTCAAGGTGCTGTTACACTTCTATAGACGGAAAACTTTCCAGAACCAATCATTATTCTAATAATTTGGAAAAAAAAAGATTTGTGGTCTCGTAGACATTTTCTCTTTGGTATTTTTTCCATTATTTTTTTTGAGAAACTTCTGCACACTCTGCCTGTCCTTAGATCCCACTCGAGTTAGGACCAGTTTGATTTCAACAATCCAATAATGTTTTTTCAAAATTATACCTTTCTGGGCTGGTCATTTCCCTTAGCTGTTGTACTGTTTGTTTTCTCTTTTTTTTTTTTTTTTTTTTTTTATTTAGGGGCGTGGGGAGGACAAATCTTTAAATGCTCCTTCGGGGTTTTGAATTTTTTTTTTTTTTTTAATTCTCCTGGTTACTGTAGGTTGTAGAGAGCATTTGTGTATTTCTTTAATTGCACTGCATATTTTTCAAATAGAAGTTCAGAAATAGGATTGCAGCAGTACCACTGGAAGCAAGATCTTTAACAAGGGATTGCTGGCTCATAGAAGAAGGTAGATAAACGCACAAGAATGGAGTGAGGGAATGATGGGGTTTTTACATTCCATGTACAGATTGACAAGTCCTCTTTTATTCTCAACTTCTCTCTTTGTACCTCCCTTAATTCTTTATCCTGGTTAAGAAACTAGTTTTTATTCCAAGGGAAATATAAAGACTAGCTTTAGTATTGTTATATGGAGTGTTATTATTTCCAGACTTTTAAAAAATGCTTTAACTGTATCTCAAAAATAAGTTAAACACAGCATTATTAGGCATTACTTAAGGCTTCTGTTGGTTTCAGTTTAAATGCCAGTGTGTGAGAACTGGAATTTGAAGCAGGACGCATCTTATATTTCAGGATTGCTTCACTACTCTTGTGAGCTTTAATCTTTATGGAAGGCTGTGCTTCTGAATAGATAACTGTTTCTCTCATAGGCTACTGTCTTCATTAATCTCATGTGTTCTACTAAGGAACAAAATGAATTTAGGGCTGACTTCTTTCAAAAAAATCCCCATCTGTCAACTGTGCAAAGCAAAGGATTTTACTGAAGAAAAAAGCCTGAGTACATGAAATTCATTTTGTAATCTAAACTGGGTAGAAAATACAGAGGTAGGCCAAGAACTGATGCTTTTTTTTTTTGGGGGGGGGGGGGGAGGGTTGCTATATATTTTGTTGTATAAATTGGAAATAACTGAAAGTCATTGTTTGTGTTTATCTAATTGTCAAAGGAAATCTGATTTTTGTTATTTAGCTCATCTGGAAAACCAGTCTTCCATGGAACTCTTGCTGAATCCCTGTTGAAGTACTCAAGACATGATTGACAGTTAGTAATAAAAAGTCTTAGTGGTAAAAACTGGAGCATTAGCAGTGAATTGGGATAAATCTGGATATGCATTATCTATATTCTTATCACAGAGTCACACCATAGAATGGTTTGGGTTGGAAGGGGCCTTAAAGATCATCTAGTTCCAACGCCCCTGCCGTGGGCAAGGACACCTTCCACTAGAATAGGTTGCTCAAAGCCCCGTCCAACTGGCTCTGAAAACTTCCAGGGAGGGGGCAGCCACAGCTCCTCTGGGCACCCTGTGCCAGTGCACATTGCTGGCTCATAGTTATACCGCCAACTCCTCTGCAGGGCTCTCAATCCACTCATTGCCCGGCCTGTATTTGTGCTTGGGATTGCTTTGACCCATGTGCAGGACCTTGCAGTTGGCCTTGTTGAACTTCATGAAGTTTACACAGGCCCACCTCTCTAGTCTGTCAAGGTCTCTCCGGGTGGCATCCCTGCCCTCCAGCGTGTCGACCATGCCACACAGTTTGGTGTCGTCGGCAGACTTGCTGAGGGTGCACTCAGTCCCCCTGTCCCTGTCACTGACAAAGATGTTAAACAACACTGATCCCATCACCAACTCCTGAGGAATGCTGCTTGTCACTGCTCTCCACTCGGACATCGAGCCGCTGACTGCAACTCTTTAAGTGTGACCATCCTGCCAATTCCTTATCCACCGAGTGGTCCATCTGTTAAATCCATGTCTCTCCAATTTAGAGACAAGGATGTTATGCGAAACAGTGTCAAATGCTTTGCACAAGTCCAGGTAGATGACATCAGTTTCTCTTCCCTTGTCTGCCAGTGCTGTAACCCTGTCATAGAAGGCCACTAAGTTTGTCATTATGATTTCCCCTTAATGAAGCCCTGTTGGCTGTCACTGATCACTGCCTTATTTTCCATGTGCCCTTGCATAGTTTCCAGGAGTTTTTGCTCCATGATCTTCCTGGGCACAGAGGTGAGACTGACTGGTCTGTAGTTCCCAGGTCTTCCTTTTTTCCCTTTTTAAAAATGGGGGTTATGTTTCCCCTTTTCCAGTCATCGTGGACTTCACTGGACTGCCATGACTTCTCAAATAAGACGGTTACTGGCTTAGCCACTTCATCTGCCAGTTCCCTCGGGACCTGCAGATGCATCTCATCAATTCCCATGGACTTGTACACCTTCAGGTTCCTTAGATAGTCTCAAATCTGATCACCTACAGTGGGTGGTTCTTCTTTCTCCCAGTCCCCACCTTTGCCTTCTGCATCTTGGACAGTGTGGCTGGAGCCCTAACAGGTGAAGACTGAGGCAAAAAAGTCATTGAGTACCTCAGCCTTCTCCATATCCCAGGTAACTAAATTTCCCTTTTCCTTCTGGAGAGGGACCACATTTTCTCTAGTCTTCCATTTATCGCTGATGTATGTATAGAAGCTTTTCTTGTTGTCCTTGATGTCCCTGGCCAGATTTAATTCTATCAGGGCTTTGGCTTTCCTAACCTGATCCCTGGCTACCTGGACAGTTGCTCTGTATTCCTCCCAGGCTACCTGTGCTTGCTTCCACCCTCTGCAGGCTTCCTTTTTATATTTTAGCTTATCCAGGAGCTCCTTGTTCATCCATGTAAGCCTTCTGGTGGTCTTACTTGACTTCCTCTTTGTTGAGATGCATCGGTCCTGAGCTTGGAGGAGGTGGTCCTTGAATACCAACTAGATTTCTCAGGCCCCTCTTCCCTCCAGAGCTTCATCTCATGCTACTCTGCCAAGCAGGTCCCTGAAGAGGCCAAAATCTGCTCTCCTGAAGTCCAGGATAGAGAGCTTGCTTCATGCCCTCCTGGCTGCCCTAAGGATCTCGAACTCTGCCGTTTCATGGTCACTGCAGCTCAGGCTGCCCGTGAGCTTCACACTCCCCACCAGCCCCTCCTTCTTGGTGAGAACAAGGTCCAGCGTAGCACCTCTCCTCGTTGGCTCCTCTGTCACTTGGAGAAGGAAGTCATTCGAGGAACCTCATGGATTGCTTATGTCCTGCTGTGTTGTCCTTCCAACAGATATTGGGGTTGTTGAAATCCCCCATGAGAAGCAGGGCTTGTGAATGTGAGACTGCTCCTGTCTGTCTATAGAGAGGGCCTCGTCTGCTCAGTCTTCCTGGCCGAGTGGCCCATAGCAGACCCCGACTGTAACATCTCCAGTCCCTGTTTTCCCTTTAATCCTGACCCCTTAGCTCTTGGTTGGCTCCCCATCCATCCCCAGGCAGAGCTCCATGCGCTTCAGCCAGTCATTGACATTCAGTTTGTCAGGAGAACACAGATCTAGATACTTTCTTGATATTTCCCCCTATTCTTTCTTTTAAGAAGTTACAAATGCAATAGGTAAGTTCAAGAACTGTAGTGCAGTTTTGTTTTTTGTTTTGCTGTTATGGTGACTTTGTTTTAGCTTTCGAGCTAGCTCACCCGTAGAGGGTGCTAAAGCACTGTTGTGTGAAAGTGTAGCAGGTCAGGAAATCGGTTTGGCACAGGTGCTTTTAGAGCAGTGCTCTCGGTTATTGCTTTCTGGATTTTCAGAATTTACGTACATGCTTGGTAGTGTGTCCTGTGATCAGTCCTGCTTAATTCAGTGAAGCTGCTGAGTTTATAGTTCAGTGTGTAGGATGAAAAGTTAGTAGGCTATTTTAGTTAAGATTTTTGAAATGTGAGAGAATGGAGCTTGGTATACTGAAAGCAAAAAAAAAATATCAAAAATCTTGCCAGTGTCTGCTTGTGAGAAAATTGCACAGAGACCTTTTTAGAGTGCCTGTGGAAGTTGTGTGTATGTGATATACGTTCTTTATATTGCTGGAAGCTTCTTCTAATGAATTTAAAGGAGACAAAGCTGTAAGATGGAAGTAAATATTTGGAGAAAGCAGCTTCTTTGTGTAGCTCCTTTAATCCAGAATACCACTGAAATGCAAAACTCCCATTAATTTTTTTTCTCTCCTTCCATTCTTCTTCATTTGATAGTAAAGATATAGAGTTCGTCTTTATCTGTCCTCTTTCAGCCCTTTTAAAGATCTATAATTTTTTCACTTTACTACTTATTCTCCACAATGGCATCAGGCAGGTGGGAGAGGGAAGAGATGTTAAGGGGTCAATGTGGTATGAACCCATTGCATTTAAATATCTGAAAGCATGTATACTTTTCTGTCAGACCAGCTATTCCTACCGTTATCAAGCTTTCTAGCTAAAAATACTGTTTTGAAGGATTCTACAGAGCAGCTCTAGGCCACTTACACTGTTGCAAAACTAGAACTGTTTTGTGGGCACAGCTTGGAGACCACTGCTTTAGATATTGAACATGTAAATTCCAGACTTGATTCTGCCAGAAACTGTCAGTCAGTTGTACCTGCCTGTATAACCTCTCAGAGTAAGCAATAATGAATGTTAATTGTGGGAGTCAAACAGCTAATTTTTTTCATGTAAATGCAGGTATGTTAACTGTTATATGTAGAATGAAATGCACAGCTTTCGTGTTCATTTAATATCTCTTAATTTTTAGGCATTACCCAATTGGTTTGCTGTTTGATCTCCATGCATCAAATACAGCCCTTCCTTGGAGCATCACAGTGCATTTCAAGGTAAAATTGAAGTACACCTTTAGTTAAGAACAAGTGAGTGCGGGATTACATGAAATTTGGAAGCTAGGAGAAGGTTTCATAATTACTTAAAGGGGAGAACATGCATTCTTCAGGAATCTTCTAAAATCTTCTGTAAATCCACAGCTGTTTTCCATGAGATTGTACGTGCTTTCAAATTATTTTCCTTTGAAAATTATTCTGTTATAATCTGAAAATCCAAAATTGTTTTTCAAGAGAAGTTATGAGACTGTGTCAGTGCCATTGAGTGGATATAAGGGAAGAACCTTCTATAATGTTTTTAATTCAGTCATCTTGAGTTGACTGAAGATTGAGAAGTACTCATCCTTTCAGGTACATGAGCGTGGATGAGATACTGTAGAAATCCTTGAAGTCAGGGAATGCTGTTTTACTTCATGTGGGTCCCCTTTAGAGAACTGAGTGAAATGAGTTTGGTCTTGTGACAGTTTAGTCACGGGAGAGACGTTATTTTGATTACACATTGCAAAACCATTAGATATGACTTAATAGCACTACTGATCTTTGCTCAGAAGAGTACTTGCTCAGGGTTAGCTTTGGTGCAGGATTCTTTCATGGTCTGAAATGCTTTAAGATGATAATCCCAGGTATGTTTCGAAGTCAAAATCACAACTAGAAATCATGGTATTTAATTCTGAAACTTTAATTTCTCTGTTGTAAAAGGAACAATGCAGTGGGAAAATTGATCCAAAGGAAAATACTAGGTTAATAGGCTTGACTATAGTATATGAGATTTTAGCTGAAATGGAAAGCGTACTGGGAAGCAATTGTGTTGAAGATTTTCATTCAAACAGTTCTTCTCTTGAAGGTGTTTTAGAAAAGGTCTTTCTAACAGGAGTAGTCTGATTCTTCTTGGAAGTATGCACTGGAATCATACATTCTTATGTATTTCCACATGTTGAAACTTTTAAAATGACTGGCTGAATCTGAAGTTGGGGATGTTTTTGAAACCGCTGTAATTGCTACACTTCTGTCCGATATATGTCAGAGACAGCTGGGATGAAGAAACTTCCAGAGTGTTTTGAAGAAACAGTAGGGTGTCTAGTTTCATAAATCATGATTTAATTGTTAAACGTTCTGAGAGCTCTGGGAGATTAACAGCGGCAGTGTGTGGATGTTGCCATCCCAAAGTAGAGCCATCTTGAGAAATAAGTTGCAGCACCACAGTGCTTTTCAGTTTCATGTAGTAATGTAAACCGACTTTAAGGTCCTTATAGTGTGGCTTGCCAAAAGATCAGCTAATTTAAGTTTGTCTCAAGGGTGTACATTAAAGATCAGCAGAAATAATTTACTGCTAAGACAGTATTATTTTAAAAGCTGATGTAATTTAGTTTTTAAAAATAAAGACCTTGGATTAAGCACCTGTTTAATGTCTCTTCCTGTTTTTGATGTAATCTGAAAGTTTATTTAAATAAACCCCTCTTAATTCTTAAAGTCAAAACATAACCGAAATATATCAAAGTATGTCAAAATATTCAAGACATTTTCATATGTTAGTTTCTTACAGCTAAATAGTTTAGGTGTGGGGTTCTTGCCTGGATTATTCTTTTCATTTGTGTGTAGTTATTCTTCAAAGAGCTATAATTTTTATTTGGCTTAACTGAACAAAATTGGATTTTTCTGGGGTTTAACTTTTGCTATCATGATTTTCTCCTTTCTTTTACCAAAGCGTGCAGTCAACAACAGATATCTCAAACATCTGTAGAGAATGGGTTTTAACCTTTTTTTTTTTCCCTATCACTTTTCTTTGTTTAAAATTAAAAGCATGAAAAAAGTTTATTTCTGTTCAGCAGAAGTTTGAAAGTTGACAGGTACTTGTAATTGTCCTCCTTTGCTATGTATGCAGACCAGATAATAAACACACTTACTGTTTGCATTGAAAAACCAGTTTATTTCATTTGCACTTCTGGTATGTAATAAAATAACATGCATTTATATCTGTAGTAAAGTTGAAATACAGTTGCCTTAAACAGCCGTAGAAGGACGTGCTCGAACAGGGTACTAAGGTCTCAGAATCATGAGACACCGTAGTCTGAGAAGTTGCTTTGTTCCCCAGGTGTGGCTTTATGGGGGGGAGGGAAACTCTATCCCTTCCTGTTAAACTCATCTCGTGGTGCTCTGCAGCATGCTTAGCACCATTCATGTCCTCAGCGTGGTAACCAGCTCTCCAGATCTCGGGCAGTAGATAGGAGGTGATGAGCTGCCCTGGAAATGGCAGCACTATTGGAGGAGAGGAAATCGGGTGTGCTCTGGTGCCTGCTTCTCCACCCAGGAGCTGATGCAGAGGAGGAGAGACTGCATCTATTTTTGTCTAACAGCAGCTGTCCTCTTCGTTTTCTCAGCTAAAAATTGGGTCAGGTGTAGTGAAAAGGAAGTACTTTTCCATGTAGTTCATGGATGAATTGTGGAACTGCTAGGAGACATGTGGAAGCCAAAAGCATAAATGTTTTAAAAGTTTTTAAAGTTAATTTTTTTTTTTTTTTTAAAAAAAAGACCACTGATGGTAATTAAATAAAAGTATATGAATGCACCCCCCAGCCACTAATGCCCTGTTACTGGTGTAATTTTCTGTAAATGTAGCCTAGTGCAACTAGACGGTCACAGTATAAACAGATGTTTTGTGAACCAGAACTGAGAGATAAATACGGGTGGAATGGAGTTATGAAACCAGACTGTTGAAATTACCTGCAATGTTTTTGGAACAGTTTTTTTGTGAGAGGTTATTCAGCGCCTGTCTGTACAGATGATAACTACTTCTTTATGACCAAGTTTATGGTGCAAGTGTCTACTGGTGTGTGAGACAAAACCAGTAGTTCTCGAGCTTTCTAAGAAAATCAAAGTCAATGCCTAATAACTTTTATTTCAAAGGTACGGAATATAAAGGGAGTAAGACATTGCCAATAAGAGTACTTGAATTAAAGCTGCTTATGGAATCTATTAAAATTTTCTGCAGATCTCATAGTTGTATAGTCAGGGGTGGCTACCAGCTTGTTTACAATTGTCTCTTTCTTTAGGGACCTGAATAAAATTGTTTACATTTGATCATTACTTCTTCAAGTAGAAAGGAGGCAAGTAGAATTAAAAAAAAAAAAAAAAAAAAACAAAACCAAGCATATGTGCTCTGTATTTAAGTATAAAACTTATTATTCTATGCCCTAGTTTATAAATCAGTGGGGCAGTATTTTCTGTTGGTAGTCTTATGTAGGTGAAACTGTTTCCTATGCGTCTTGTAGATGCAGCGGTGTTGTTTTCTAAGTTATCACTTTCATGTTTAGGTTTTTCAGCTTCTACTCATTGTACCACATAGAAATGTGTTAGTGTTCCTCTAAAGAAAAGAGTAGACACCACTTAGATTGTAGGAGTGTTTTCCAGTCTCCTACAGTGTTACCGCTTAGAAGCTGGGAAAATTAATCGTGCCACACATTTGTATTACTGTGGCTAGATTATTTCCACTAGCTTAGCTAGCTTTGACCAATTTTAAATATCTCCTTGCCATTCTGCAGACCACACACTGTATGTTCTCTGGAATACATGCCCAGGGTGTGTCATTCCCTGTAATTTGAAATTCATTGGAAGAAAGTCAGCAGTGGGACCCTGCCGTTCAGTATTTAGACATATGTGTAACAAAACAGTCGTAAGAAAGCTGTTGTTTTCATAAACTTAGCTAAAACTTCAGCTTTTAACTGTGAAAGTCAGTTTTTAGGTTCCTATATTACTCAGCATTAGGTACATTCCATTGTTTCATATTTTTCTGAGGGATGCCAGTGTCTTACTTTTGAACTTTTTTTGATCTTGAAGTATGTTATTTCTGACTGTTCTTTTCTTTTAGACTGGTTACAAGACTTTACTTTTTTTATTTGAGCAAGTAAGTCAAACTTCTAAAAGTATTTTACAGGCCCATACGGATGTCAGCTGGCAAGTAACAATCCCAGTAATGTTTTCCGTTCATATTGATCCCACTTATGCTGAGACACTCGGCTTTGTAGGGGAGAAAGGGAGCAAGGTCTGCACTGGAAGGAGGACTTTCCTTTCTCTTCTGTCCTACTTAATGTCTTTATACTTGGCCATCCTCATATGAGAAACAAGCTTTATCTCTGTCCGTAGATTTTTAGTCAGCTCCACATACACCAGCGCTAAGTAACAATAGCACTTCCTTTGTAAGTTCAACACCAAACCGTGTACACTTCCATGGAAAAGATACTAGCAGTCTTCTCTTCCCTTTACACTCCTGTTTTTGGAAGATGCTCATCATTTTGATCCGCAGTTTCCAGAATCTGGGTTCACTGTCATAACGAGGAATAACTGTATGAAATTCCATTATTTAATTTCCAACTCTTTTCAATAACCTAATGAGGGGGGGAAAGATCATCCTTGTCCTCAGAATTTCCTTCAGGTGAGGCAATCCCCAGCTCCCTTTCATATTGCCAGTTGTTAGTGATTCTTGGATATTTTGAGTTTCTGTAGTTTGAAGCAGTCTTCACTATTTTTCCTGGTTTTATGTGGAGGAGGGAAGGTATGGGTTTTTTCAGCATTATGTTGCTCCTACTGTGACACGTTAACTATGTTGTAAAAGTAATTGAAAAATACCTTGTTATATGTACTTGTATTTCCAAAATGGTTTTGACAGTCCCTCACATAAGCTTTTTTAATATCCAATTTGTAATGGGTTAAGAAGAAAGGTCCACTTGTGGAATAACAGATGAGAATTGAAGTACAAAAATACATGGCAAGCTCTTGTTATGAAGGAGAGTACTAGTGATGCCATTCTGGTTTGGCTCTGGGGGTTGGCATTGCTCAGCATGGTCATAAGCAACTGTGAAAAGAAGATGGATAAGGAAGGGGATAAAACATGCTGTTTTTTTAAACTTTTGAAAACGAAAGACAATAGATTTGTGATAATAAATGCTTGTATTATTGCAAAATGGCAAGTGATACTAAGTGTTGATTAAAAAAAAAAAATTAGAGAACAACCCTAACTGTATAGATATACAATGTTGAACTTCTGAGTAGCTAATTAATTTTTTTTTTTTTTTTGGTACCTGAATGAGATTTAGTACTATAATTTCTTAATAAATTAATTAGGAAAGGTAGTTGTCATTTACTGAGGGGATAAAAGTTACCTGAGGAGTGGTAACTGTGCGTCTGCAATGCTGAAGGCAGTGTGCCAACTCTAACGAAATAAAAGGGGTATAGAATCAAGTCACACAGGCTAGCAATAGGCACATGTATTAGATAGAGTTGGGGCTGACAAGGATTTCCAGTACCTCTAAGGAAAAATGTCTGTAAGTGGACTATATGCTATAGTTCATATATGTGAATGATGATTTGGAGGAAACATTTTTCAAAGGCCTGCATAGAAGTAGGTGGTAAACTGCCACTGAGAGTCAATGAGAATTCAGTGCTTGTCACTTACTTCTCCCCCTTTTCTCCTGTTCATTGCCAGAGCATTGAACATCTGTTTGAAAACACGTTAAAACTCTTTTATTTCCTGAATTTAGGATGTAAGAGCCTAAATACATTCGTTGATGTATTTAAATGTATTTATCAAGTTGAGGTTGGGTGATTCAGTGTAATTTCTGGTTTTACAGAAAATTGTTCAACTTTGATTTTTCCTGAAATGTTTTTCACTGCAAAATCTTTCTTGGCAGCAGAGTGAGAGAATGGTTGTTACTGTCTTCCACAAGTAGAATATTCCAATGTGCTTCTTTTGTATAAATATAAACCTGATTAAAATTAAAATTTATTCTTCATCTTCTAAGGTATGTGATGCATTTATTTCTCTTGATCTATCTCTTCTCTTTGTAGAATTTTCCAGAAAAGGATGTTCTACACTGCCATTCTAAGGATGTGATTGAAGCTCATTTTATGGCTTGTATAAAAGAAGCAGATGCTTTAAAGCACAAAAGTCAAGTCATCAATGAGATGCAAAAAAAGGATCATAAGCAACTGTGGATGGGATTACAGAATGGTAAATACATAGCATCAAGTATTAATTACATTTAGGTCTAGCATGCTAATACATAATTTCTTCAAATTATAGTCATGGTACGGGATATAAAATGACATTGTTCTGCTGCAGAATTTTAGTCTAATGTCATGGAAAAGATTTTTTTTTTTAAATTACATTTTTTTTTAGTCACCATTTATGCGACGATCCAAATGTGGCTTGAGTTATTCAAGGAACTAAATTGGGTCCTGACTTTAGTTTAACAAAACAAAACCAGCAACAAAACAAAATAAATAGATAAATATTGTCTAGTGTACTTTTGTGCAACTGATGGTCTTTATTTGGGAGATAGCTGGGGTGTAAGTGTTGTTCAGTATTAACAATCTTGGACTGTAATGAAAGTTGTCTCCTCTAGTTAGTGTTTAAGGATTGTCACTGATAAACAATACAGACAAGCTTCAAAAAAGTTGCCCAGTAGATTAATAATTTTACTTTTCTCTCTGCCAAATTTATTTTTTTTATTGCTAATATTACCATGGCTTTCACAAAGATTTCTGCATAGATAAGTATTGACTTGAAAAAGTCAGCAAAATAATTCAGAACAGGATGTTCTAAAATAATTAGTGTTCTTACTATGCACAGATGGCATGAATCTGTATTGCAGTGCAAAATATAATTTCTTTTGTGTTTAGTGTCTCCTCTTTCTTATGGTTCTTAGAAGCCTGTAAATTGAAAAGCTTTGTAATTATTTCAGAAGCTGCTCTCTTGAATGGGTGGTAACACCACTTTCTGTGTGTTTTCCTCATCTCCTGAAGCTGTCATATGTATTATTACTGGTAAAATTATTTTATGGAAGCTGTAAGCATGAAGATGTTTATTCTATGTTGAGATACAAAATACTAAACACTTAGAATTAACATCTTCCCATATGTTTGTAAGGAAAAATAAATGAAAAGAAGCAGCTTTGAATACAAGACTTGAGGCATGTGTTTCCTTTGGACGGTGAGGTTCCAAATTAGTTTGGTTTTAATGTGTGCATTTAATGAGTGTGTGGGTTTTCTAATTTGTTGCTGTTGTTGTTTAGTGGTACAGCCTTTCACATTAAAGGTACTCCTGTAATAATTTTGAAGATGAAGTGCTTATTAGAAACTCTGGTTTCTATTTTTTATTTAATTGGGGAAGAGTTAGAAACTGAGGGATTATATTAATTTGCCATTTGAGTGGTATAATCTTGAGGGATGGTGTATATACCAGCAAAATTTATCGAGTGAGAAATTGCACTCTGGTTCAATTCAAAGTACTTCTTGAGAGATTCTGTTTTGTATAGATATTAGTCAGCAAACTGACTGGTAATATATTCGCTTTTGTGAATTAGCAGTAAATAAAGAGTTCTGGCCCACTGGAAGCTAGAATCAGTATGAATAGATGTTTCCCTAAAGGTTACATTGTTACAAGTCAATTTAAACTTCAATTTTAATAATTCTGTGGAAAAAACCTATTCTGCTGTAATAGTATTTGTCTTGCAAGCAGTTTAGTTCAAGACAAGAAGCAAAATGCTGTGCCAGCATAATTTTGTTTTCTATTTCAAGAATTATTAGTTTTACTGCAAAAAGAAATCCTGTCACTTCGTCCTGGTGCTCAGGGGTTCCCAGCAGTGCACTTTATGTGTTCTTTTTATTAATGCTTTTTAAATTAAAACTAAAAGAGCCCTAACATGAGTTATGAGTGTTATGAGTATAATAATGGCAGAAGAGTTAACTACACAATGAAATGGTGTGAGTTAAGGTTCTTTTCTTAATTAGAAGCTCGTTACCCTCAATATGAAAGGTAAGAGAACAGATATGCAGTGTGTTCCTTGCATGGTCATCTTAGGCTCTATCTTTTAGTTGATTACTTGTCTAAGAGTATCCTCAGTTGTAGAGAAATCAGGATTTCACTGTTTTGCTTTATATTGTTAACAGAGGTTGCCTAGCAAGGTTGATTTCAAGAAGGTTTCACTGTACTTAATGAGGAATTGCACCTGTGGAATCTGACACCTAAATGAGAAGTTTAAACACTCTTTTGAATACTTTCAAATGCTAATTTTAATTTCTCAGCTCTTCATAAAAGAGAAACAAGAAAAGCTTGTGAAACCAAGAAAACTCTTTTTAAGCATGTTGTATCTTTCAATATGTTTTTATAGGCTTTCGTTTGAGATGTAATAATTTTAAACCTCTTTGTGAAACAGAATGAACGACCACAAAAAAGAAAAGAAAGTAGCATTTGTGATAACTGCCCTGTAAGTAATGATACATCTGCAGGCTTTTTTTTTCTGTGAAACTTCAAACGATTTTCTTTAGTTCTTAAATATAGGAAGTGTTATTTGTTTAACGAGTGATAGCAATACTTACAGGATACATATTAAACTTACATTTTTGGGAAAAAAAAAAATCCGATTTTGCTTGTTTGGAGAAATGTAACTACCGATTACAAGTGTAATTTGATATAAATCTTTCTTCTGAGAAGGAAGTACTTGGACAGGTAGCATGAGAAACTTTTCAGTTGCTTGTAGATGGCTTTTAGGGGAAGAGCTGTAATAGAAAATCTGTGGCAAAATCTTGTGCTGGTAACAGCTGGTAGGTATTCATAACAACCTTTACACCCCTCCTCCCACCATTTCTGGTTTTGTGTTAATTTGCTACCAAATCAGGAAGGTAAACATACTTTTCTGTCTGTTGCTTGTGCTGTGGTTTTGCTTGTTCTTCAGACTTCACTTAGCCAATTTTTGTCCATAAAGCAGATATTTCTTAGCTAGATCACTTCTGTGGGACGAGTACATCTGTGTCACCCTAATTTCGACCAGTGTCATGGATGTCTGACTGTGGCAGGGAGGCAATAAAGGCAGGCTATACAGCTATACTTACCTCTGTTCCTTTGCAAGAATTGTTAAAATTCTTTGGTTAGAACTGATGGAAAATGTTACTTACTGTTCTCACCTTAATAGTGTTACGGCCATTTTTATAATGGATAAAGAGGATTTTCACGTGGGTGGTTTTTTCTTCTTGCCTTTTGACATCTCAACTGTTTTTAGGGGGAGACCTGTATTTTTTGCATGGTTCAAAGAATTAATATCTCTAACTTCAGTATATAATGGTTCTGATAAAGAAGGGGTTTTAGATTCAACACAGTTGCTTTTCATCACTTGTGGAGACACATAAGCAACCATACTGTTAAAACCCTCAAATTTTCACAAGCATCCTTTATAACCGGTGAAGACTAGACTTGGTATTTCTGATACACGTGTGGGGGAAATAAACAGTAAAGACTCATAGCTATTTTTAAGGTTTCTTTATATATTATAAAATATAATGAAGTCATCATTTTACTGAAAATGTTATGGAAAAATAATGTAATGCTCATTCATGCTGTAGGGTTTACCAGAAGTTAAGTGGCCATACTGAATTGTTCTTATTAAAGGAGAAGAATCCTGCAAACATTCAGAATATGCAATATTTTATCTTTAAATGTGTGTGATCTCTTTCTTGCCTTACTGACAGAATCAGGCCTGTGTTGTCTTGCATTTATTTCTAAGTTCTATCTAAACCAGTCCTGGGCTTTTGAGGGGCAGAAGCTGTGTTTTTTCTGGGTTATCACATTCCTGTTCAGAAATGTTTGAACTGCCAAAAATACAGTGTCAGACATTATCAGCAACTGTTTTGTGCTGTGTACACATGGCCCACTCTGGTCTGATATATAAGTTTCTCCTTTTAGGAGAGAACTGGTGGGAGCAATGCTGTTCTTTACCTCAGTCTGAGATGATGAGCATACTTTGGTAGCTGAACAAATCTCTCTAATCTCAACTGATAATTTGAAATTTACATTAGTCAATATTTAAGTCAATACATAAAAAATCTTCAGGAATTTATCTGGAGAATGAATGAACAAGCCATTAGTCTTTAAATCACAAAGCCATCTTTTTTCCTCCTTCTCTATTGCTACCAAGATGGTAATACCTTTCCATGTTCTATCTGTAGAGATTTGGTTAACTGTGAAGACAGATTAAACAATTCTTTTGAACTTTGAAAATGGATGTATTGGTTAAAAGAGAGGATTCAAAAAAAATGTCATTACCTTCCTGGGCTGGTGGCTAAAAATTTCTGGAAATGCAACAAGTTTTCTTATAGTTGGTGTTAGTACCTGTTTATTCTGGAGTTTCAATAGCATGGCATACACCAAACACTGGTGTGTTTGATATTGTGGAACCCAGAGGGATGCAGTATAGACAGATTCAAATAGCTCTGCACAAAGGCAGCCCGGCACTGTTTTGGTGTTGAGCTGGAGCTGGGTTCAGACAGGCTGGACCTGCAGAACGAATTGGGTGCATCAGAGCAGGCCTTCCCAGGGATTTTCTTTGGTGGTGGTGGTTTTTGTTTGGGGTTTGATTGGTTGTGGGGGTTTTTCTGGTAATGAATAGTGACCTAGACGTCGGTGTTAGTTCTGCAGTGTTTGCTGGCTTGTTACCATTTTCTGCACAAATGACTAAACTAGTGCTTCACGCGTATAGGTGCAGTATCATGATTCTAGACTGTCACCCTTCCGAAACTGGCTTTTGCATTGTTACTCTTCTGTGCTCTCCTGGTGCCTGCCTGCACAGCTGCTTCTCGTCGCGGTGCCAAGGTGGGGAATTGCTGGCAGCCTGAATTCTCCCCTTGGCTTTCTCTGCGCCACTCTCAACAAGAGGGCAGAGCAGAGCCGCCGTGTTTGTGAGGCCAGGGGGAATCAGAGGGCCTTAAAGGAGGACACGAACCTCGCAAAGGCAGAAAAGGGAGGAAAGCAAAGGGTAACCCTGCACTCACGACGCTACTTTATGCTGAAGTCTCTACCATGAGAGGATATTGTCTAGAGATAGGTAGACAGAGATAGAGATGCTTTCTGGTGTTTTCACCATCCTGTGTTACCTGTCCATGTGTCTAATGAAGACTGTTAAACTTTGAGGGAGCAAGCTTGGAGTTCTCTACATCTTTGGCACAGGTAATCTGCCA